GCGTCCCCGCGCGGCGCGGAGCAGCCCCGCGCGTGGGCGGCCCGGCTCACCTGCACGGGCCGGTGCACGTTCCGGTAGTGCAGCAGGGGATGCTGCACCTGGCCCAGCACCCTGCTGAAGAAGAGGAGGACCTGCTGCCGCATCCCGGGCGGGTACTGGAAACAAGGAGGGCAGAGGCGTCAGCGAGCGCCCGCCGACCCCTTTTCCAGGGTTATTCCTGGAGCGGCACCGCCAGGGAATTGAAACGCAGCGCCCCAAGCGAGCATGGCCTTGTGGCAACAAGAGGGCCGGGTGCCTTTCCAAAACACGGAGCGAAGACGAATATTGCTGCCATTGCCACTTCCCTTTGTTCGAGTAAAAGGTTATTTATAGGGAGCCGCAGTAGCACGGGTAGCAGAGCCTGGGACGGCTGTTATTTTTAGGCTGTGCCTATTTTGCAAGGTGACTTTTTATAAACTCAGACTCCTGCAAAGCACAGGGCTGGGGTGCCAGTGGTGCAAAGCCCCAGAGCAGCCTGCACAGCGAGCGCTGCACGTGAGCACGTTTGGAGCTGCAGGGGACAGTCAAAAACCCATGCATGGAGCAGGAGGAATAAGCTACGGCAGGAGGGAGCTCCTCGACCAGGCGATGCAGCCCCCGAAGATACGGGTGGGCACAACCACGCCAAAAATCTCCCAGGAATTCCCTGCCACACTCTGCAAACTGCTGTCACCCCAATATAACACCTGCAAAGCCCAAACTGTGGAGCAGCAGGGCAAGGGACAGGAAGGGGGTGCTGCCAGGCGCTGGGTGCTTGCAGCACGGGGGGTTTTGGGGGCACGGGGACGCGCGGGCACCTCCGCTTTGCCCAGCGTGCTGAGGGTCTCCAGGAGCTTGTGCTGTAGCAGGTATTCCAAGCACGGCCCGGCCTCCCCCGCCGGCTGCTGCTTCTCCTCGTACACCAGGATGTCCAGCATCTGCTTGAGGCGCCACGGGATGTTGGTCTGCTTGGCCGGGGTGCTCTCGTCTGCGAGACACAGCACACGGGGCTCCGAGTGCCATCCCCAATCCTGGCACCATGCCCGAACATGGGGCTCCGAGCACCGTTCCCAATCCTGGCACCATCCCTGGACACGGGGCTCCGAGCACCATCCCCGGACACGGGGCTCCGAGCACCATTTCCTGGCCCCATCCCCGGCCACGGGGCTCCGAGCACCATCCCCGGACACGGGGCTCCGAGCACCATTCCCAATCCCGGCACTATCCCCAGGTATGGTGCTCCGAGCACCATTCCCAGCCCCGTGGGACCCCGAGCACCCCGCGACGGGCTGAGATCGTCCCGGAGCGCTTCGGCACGTCCTGGTGCTGCCGCTTCCGGCGTGCAACACCCCAACTGTTTTGGACCCAGCATTCCCAATATTCCAAGGCTATTAATGCTGGCGACGCTAGATGGCAACACCACAGTAGAGGCCTGGGAGCACTAGAGGTTGTTTCCTCTGCTCGGGGCCTACGGAGTTCCCTGTGTCCCGGCCAGAGCTGCAGGGCTTTCCCGGCACGCAGGGCAAGGCTGTGAAAGCCTCCAGCG